GTGTCCAGCACGTTCAAAATCAAATGGCCAGCTGTGTTCATTTGGAGTGGCTGAGGCGGTCCGCGCTGAAGTTCCACTGTCTCAGCTGCAAAGTCCAGCTTGGCATCTAAGCTCTTCAAGGTGTTTCGGGACAGGAGAAGAGGTGCAGTCCCTTTGATCACCGCGGCCTCGATGCGGCCTGTCGACCGTGGATGACGATCGGCATGGATACCACCTTCTCGGACAGCTCTTCTTGGCCGTTCCCAAAACGGAACAAATTCTGTTGGGGCCGACTGTCGGGCAATGTCATCTTGCGATCCTGGTATAGACGCATGAACTCACCCAATGTCTGTTGACCAATCAATGTACGACTGCAACCCGAGTCAATGATGCCATACCCTGGTGATGACACCAAATAACATTCAGCTGCGTCTGTCACCATTGCTGCCCCTCTAGGTTTTTCCGTTTTGTTGCTTGAGCTAGCGGCCTGTGGGCAATTTCTTGCCCAGTGTCCAATCTGACCACACCATCTGCAGCGTGACTTCTTTTGAATGTTTGTCAACTCCCGTGTGAATTGTTTCTTCGCAGTGGTGGCCTGTTTGAACTTTCTGGCCTTCTGCAGCTTTGAGATCTCGGATCTCCTCTCCAGGTCGCCGCCAACACTTCGGCAATCTCCTCTTCATCGTACACCTCAGTTGAACTGTTTGTGGATGTAGCATCATGAAAGCCATGCTCTGTCAAAAATGCTTCCAACTCTTCAAAAACAACGCTATCAGGCCCTTCCGCTTCTTGAGCTGGCCCCGACTCCGGTTCGTCCTCTGACCAGTCGTGTTGGACCACATATGTTTCCTGAAGCAACTTCTCATTGCAGCTGTAATGCTATCCGTCTTCAAATCACCCTGAGTCTTTGCTGTCGCGATTGCTCGTTGGTCAGCTGATAACCCTGAGGAGTTCAGACATACCCAACCCTGTGCTCCGGGTGGGAAATCCACCGACACTTTCCTCCGACAATTGGCGAAGGCTTCCTGGACTCTTGAGCACCATGCCACCACGGTCTCACCCTTCTGGGCATGCAGCTCGAAGACTTCCTTGAGACATTCAGCCATGTGGTCGTGGGCCAGTTTGTCTGGAAATCTATCATCAAGGCACTTCCAAATGTGTTTGTCCCCGTTCTCTTCACGAAGTTGGTCCAATGTCAAATGTTCGACAGTTTCCAGAGCCAGTCCTTCAAGAAGGCAAAACACGTAGGGGCCTCGATGCGTCGGAGTCACGTCTTTGGTGGAGGCCATCTTGGCCAAAGCCCAGAGGCGCCACCGCCTGTACTCTTTGGGGTCCAAACTCTCCCCACTCAATCGACGTTGTCCCATTCACGACCCATCCGAGCTAGCGGCCATGGCACCTACACCCAAAAACTATATATACACTAGACACCGCTTTCAGCGTTCAACCTTCCTAAGGCCTAACTACCCCGGATGCCCTCCTATCGGAGGAGGGCTCCGCTACCAATGTTGAAACCGCGAATCGATTCGATCCGCCCGAGAGCTGCTGCTCTCCCCCTACCGGCGGCCTTTTCCGCGCCCGATCCTCGAGCAAAGGTTGCCTCCGGTCCGACCTATACTGCATACCTGTCGTGACACTGCTTTCACATATATATATATACCTACCACATGTATATATATATATATATGTATGTAATATCTAATAACTTTAACAACCCGCAGCTCATCCTGGTGCGTGTTTTCCTCGGTCATGTACAGAAACACTTCTAGCAATGCATAGGGCGAAAAAGTTCTATAATGGTAAACTCTGTCTCAACACATTGCGCACAAAGCGACAACCCCCTTTGTTCTTGCATAGTTTTTCAAAAGAGTATGTTGAAACCAAACATGCGTGTTGGGCGGCAGGTCCACATGTATATACCCTAAAGATTCCCCAAACTATTCCAAAAGATCCCCAGTAACAGTAACAGGTGTTGCTGCAACATGTTTTTTACTGACTACACAGTATCCTGCGCGTAAAGGACCAGGTGCTCGCAAAGGCATCTGCAGCTTTACACCCGTGTTCATGTGGAACACCCCTTTGTGATCACTCCCCTACTTTGGGAGCGCTATTCAGAGCCTACGCCGCGAGAAAGGGGCTCTGCAGGTAGCGCCTCCTCCGCCTCGACCACTCCTGCTCTTCATAACGAATGTGAAGAATGCAAGGACCGTTTGGGCCCACAGCTCAGCCATCTCAATCAACATGGCGAAGACCTGCACCGGCAAAGCTGGAAAAGTCGATTCAAATGATTGGTCATTCGAGTCATTTGTATCCAGGTTGAGATCTCCATCAATGATAACGTTCTTATGCTCAAGAGATATACGTCTCGCAAAATGGGAATCCCGGTGAGGGAACCCAGTCTATGCTTGGAGTGGTTGCTCTTGAATGCTTTCAGCTTGAGTAGTTGGCCTCCCCTCATTAACATGTTGAGTGGATTTGGTGTCGCGTGAGCCGCTACAATCACTAGAGCCTGCTAAAACAACTTGGATTTCGTCTCTTGAGATCGGCCTCTAATTTAGGAAAGGGTGAGTTCTTTTGGTCCTTGACTAAAGGATTCAACAGGAAACTGCAAAGCAATCGAAGACAATGGACGAAACAATGCAAAAATTGTTTTGAAAGGCACTTTTGACCCGCTGAGAACAAATTTGTTGAGAATGGACAGATAGCAAGCAAACGCAATTAAGGTTTGATTCGATATCAAGCTGGCGGTGTGTCGAGCCTTCCATTCAAGCCCAGTTTGCTACACCGAGGTGGAGGATATGATTCTTGTGTATCAAGGCTGGAATTTGCTTTGACATGCTTCTTCCTTTTGGAAGAAGAGCAAGCAAGGGAAAGAGCAGGCAAGTTTTGGCTGTTAAGGCTAGCATCATTTGGACAGGGTCGAGTCATACACATAAGTCATTGCGCTTTAAGTACAACAATTCTTGCCTGGCTAGTACGTGTATATATAGGGCATCATAGAGTTGTTGTCACAGCAGCTAAGCGGCTAGGGTATGCTCAGTCGGGATATATGGTTTGGTCCGGTCCATACTTCCTAAGTTGTCGCATGCGTGTTCCGATGCCAGTCTTAAACGCTTTATTCGTTGTTTTCATGTCCATCTTGAGCCTGATCATGGAGTGACAGGAGAAGAATTGAAGAATGACACACAAATCAAGCAGAGCATCTTATCTGCACTTGGCCCTCTATATGTCAGCATCCCCAAAGCTGCAGGCCAAAGTAGGTGCCTTGCACCTTCCCTCGCTTTCAACCTGCAAAGGTCGCAATGAAGCCTCATACCCATAGCATTTAGATAGAAAATAGCACACTGTGCACACGCAGGGCGGCTGCTGACTGAAGTCGCTTGCAAAGAAAAAGGGTCCTGGCACTGATTTGGTATCAGGCCATGGCTTAAGATGTGTTACGCTTACGCACTTACGTTTGCCTACGTTTTAAAGGGTTACATTGTTAGAGGCGGACAAGTTTGCTAATAGCATGTTAGACTGCTGGGACCATCCGATCCAGTGGAGAAGATCCAGCTGGTAGTTGGTGGTATGTTGAGAGCCTTGTATGATTTTTTGCTGAAGTTGCCAAGCCTAAGTACGCGTCAGCAATTGCCCCACAAGTAGTATTGTCATAGAGCACAAGATAGTATGGCGAGTAGAATGACGCGCAAAGGTACAACAGCCGGATTGACAAGGAACCCCCTTCCGGAACTGTTGACCGGTTCGTCATTTGTTCCGCTCTGCTTTCAGAAAGCATGACTATAAAGGATTGCCACTACTGCCACCTATGAGTGTAGATAGTGCGTGGCAAAAAGTGCCGCGTCGCAGCAGGCAAACTGGACTTTGTGATTCAGAAGGCTGTTCTTTGCAGCAAGCTCACACAACCTGAAACATACAAGTGAGATGTGAAAGGGCAGTGCTGCGCTCGATACAGGATGCCAAGAAACAAATCGATAAGATAAAAGACATGTATTAAAAGAAATATGATATTTCAGTGCAGCTTGTGCCTTTTCCGATGTAGAGGGGTCAAGCTGCATAGGCTTGGAATTGCAAGAGTACTTTCACCGTAAGTCAGTCCATGAGTTGCTCCCTCGCTTCCTTGCAATGTGCTGCAGGCGGCAGAGACCGAACCTTCTGCGGAAGACTGCACCATCCACCTCATTGACATCAAGGAGATGGGCTTTTGTTGAAATTCCTCAAGCGACATAGGTCCGCCATGGTCTAGTTCTGTAGAATTCCAGTTGTTTGCTTCATAGAGATTGGGGATGTATGAGCTCAAAAATGGTGTGTTGATGCGTGGACAGTCAGAGGACACTCCTGCAGACATCCGTGAGCCCAAGGTCCCTGCACCCGACGCCACACAGGGATCATTTTGATCGGGCACTGGGCCAAAGCAAACGGTGACAGATACAGACTGACAACCACAAGACTAACAAGGCACGCAACGCAGACAGACACACTCTTCATCCGAGCATTAGAGCTGCGCCATTCAATACTGTAAATCTCTCTTTGCGAGATCATTTGTCAAACACAACAGCCATAGCGCCAAGTAATGCAGGGTGGCACACGCAAGCGTGTTTTTCGTCCGTCTCACCTTTCAAGCTTTGCAAATTGCAGAGCGTTGCAACTTGGAATGCTCCAACGTGAAGCTGAAAAACAATGAAAGAGTGCAGATCCAGACAGATCCAGTCTTTGATGGTTGCTATCAGGAGTTCTCAACACTAGCGAAGATTGGACACCATCAGAAACTTAAAACGCTTCAAGCCAAGCTCCAACAATTTGACACTTAGAGTGGCTTTCAGGAGTGCAGAGTAGTCCTATGTAGTCTTGATTCGTGGCATCTAAAAGTCCCTGAAGCCTGGGAGAGGGTTGTCTCAAAAACTGGCTTCGTGTTGGCCGGTGCATTTGTTCAGGCTAGGTCAGGTGAAGATGTATGGCACAAACTACATAAGCATATACATGTAGTGTATATATATATATAAACCAAACTTAAATACAGTTGTTTTCTAACGCCTGGATTAGAATGGGCTGCCGTGGGTCAAAAACGGATTGCGTTCATATCGATGATTCGAAAATTGCTGCTTGGCAGAATTGGGTGGAATTTGCTTGCATCACAATGTCGCTAACTTGGGAATGTCGTGAATGCCAATTTATATATATAACATGGTTGCAGCACAAAATTCATTCTAAGGAGAATGGATCTGTGGAGGTGGAACACAGCTTTCGCCACAGACGGAAGGTTGGTGTCTCAGGACCACAGCAATTGGCAAATCGAGGCCAAATCAGATTGCGATGCCTCTGAACAAAAAGAGCAAACAAAAATATAAATACAGTGTATAATGAATAAGATTATGATATAATAAAGAAAACAGAAAACGATTTAGAAAAGAAGCTGGGCCCAAATCCTTAACGTGTTATTGTTATTTTTTTATGCATCATCATGCAACTGCATATGCTATGCCCCATTCTGTGGAGATTTGCTGAGGTCCTGGACCGGGAGACTGGCAAAGTGTTCGAAGAAGTCATACCCGGCCCAGTGTGGTCAATCTTGAAGGGATTGCGCCTCGACTCCAGATTGAACCTTTTGGAATGCTGTACCGCTGAATCTCTAAACCAGCCAATGCCTATCAAACAGTCCAAAATGGTATCCATGGCTGGTTGGGTACCACTGACTTACACTCCAGACCTGCTTCAAATACATATTATCAGCAATTTTTTTAAATCAGACTCTGGATAAAAATTGACTCTGGG